TTAACCATTAAACTAGACGAGGCCAGATGATATATTAAGATAAAGGATCAACTGTGAATATGTGATGTATGCATGTTGAAAGATGGTTCATAGTAGTCCAGTCAGTACATCTTCTCGCCAACTATCACCAACCCCTTTTCGCTTTCTTCCTTCACCAAATTAATCTCATCGCCTCAAGAAACCAACCACGTCTTCTTTTCTTATACGATGCTCAAAGATTTTAGTCACATCACCGATATTTCTATAAAGAAAGCCTGTTTTGAAGCTAAAATCTTATTACACTCTACTCTCTCATGTCTTTTGACACCATGTCCCTGGCAAGTGATCTGCCATTTCTAGGCCCACGTTCTGGTCCTTCAAGCATGGAGCTTAAGCAACTATCTCGACGACCAAAACACCATATCTCACCAACTCTCGGAGAGCTTCTGCAATTCGTCGGAGATGCCAATTCTTCTCCCAACGCCGGCCATGGCGTTTCTGATCCACTTCATGCATCACCTTTTGTTCTTTCATTCAATAGTCTCACATACAGTGTTAAAGTCTCTAGAAAGACGGCCGTTCCTAATTCACAAGTCGGTGGTAAGGCGGAGATGTCGAACACCAAGGTTTTGTTGGATGATATCTCCGGCGAGGCGAGGGAAGGCGAAATCATGGCGGTGCTTGGTGCCAGTGGATCGGGAAAGTCGACGTTGATCGACGCACTTGCAAAACAGGATTGCGAGAGGGAGCTTGAAAGGTACGGTGACGTTGAACGGTGACATTCTTGAGTCAAAGTTGCTCAAAGTTATATCCGCCTACGTCATGCAAGATGATTTGTTGTTTCCCATGCTCACCGTCGAAGAAACGCTGATGTTCTCCGCTGAGTTCCGGCTTCCTCGGACACTATCAAAGTCGAAAAAGAAAGCAAGAGTTCAAGCACTGATCGATCAGTTAGGTCTCAGAAATGCTGCCAAAACGATCATCGGAGATGAAGGTCATAGAGGGGTTTCCGGTGGGGAACGCCGCCGTGTTTCCATCGGAACCGACATCATCCATGACCCCATCGTGCTGTTTCTTGACGAACCTACATCTGGGCTCGACTCCACTAGTGCTTACATGGTGGTAAAAGTCTTGCAACGTATAGCTCAAAGCGGAAGCATAGTGATCATGTCGATACACCAACCGAGTTACAGACTCATGGGTTTGCTCGACAAATTGATATTTCTTTCAAGGGGACAAATGGTTTTCAGTGATACCCCATCAAAACTACCAGATTTCTTCGCGCAATTTGGAAACCCAATCCCAGAAAACGATGATCGAACTGAATTTACACTCGACTTCATCAGAGAGCTCGAGATGTCGGATTCAGGAACTAAACAGCTAGTTGATTTCAACAAGTCATGGCAAAGAAACAAAAGCCAAGATACGAGATCAGTCGCAGAAGCCAAACTGTCACTAAAAGACGCCATAAGTGCAAGCATTTCAAGAGGCAAGTTAGTCTCAGGCGCTACGAACATTGATTCGAATCTATCCTCGTCAGTTCCAACATTTGCAAACTCTTTTTGGGTGGAAGTTCTTGTGATAGCAAAACGTTCGATGCTCAATTCATGGCGATCACCTGAACTTTACGCGATCCGTCTAGGCGCTATCATTGTTACCGGAACTATTCTAGCAACCATGTTTCGGAAACTGGACAATTCGCCACGTGGAATCCAAGAACGAATAGGGTTTTTCGCGTTTGCCATGTCCACAATGTTCTACACTTGTGCCGAAGCCATTCCTGTGTTCCTTCAAGAACGATACATTTTCATGAGAGAAACTGCGTACAACGCTTACAGACGTTCATCATACGTTGTGTCTCACTCGATTATGGCCATTCCTTCCTTAATCTTCCTCTCATTCGTATTTGCATGCATAACCTTTTGGGCTGTAGGGTTAGCAGGTGGGACTATGGGGTTTTTCACTTTCCTCCTCTTCATATTTGCCTCATTTTGGGTCGGAAGCTCTTTCGTCACCTTCCTCTCCGGCGTGGTGACTCACGTGATGCTTGGATACACCGTTGTGGTTGCAGTTCTGGCGTATTTCCTTCTCTTCAGTGGTTTCTTCATCAGTCGTGATCGAATCCCGGCGTATTGGTTATGGTTCCATTATCTTTCACTGGTTAAGTACCCTTATCAGGGTGTTTTGCAGAACGAGTTTGATGATCCTATGGAATGCTTCGTGAGGGGAACTCAAATCTTTGATAATTCGCCATTAGGTGCGATTCCAGACGCCATGAAACTGAAGCTTTTGAAGAGCATGAGCCAGGCACTTGGTGTGCCGCTTACGAGCTCGACTTGCTTGACAACTGGTGCAGATATATTGAAGCGACAAGGGGTTACTGATATTAGCAAATGGGGTTGCTTTTGGATCACCATAGCGTTGGGTTTCTTGTTTAGAATCTTGTTTTATTTTGCTTTGTTGGTGGGAAGTAAGAACAAAAGGAGGTAAAATAAAATTCGAAAAAGAAAAAAGAATAATAATAAAAGGCATAATATCTCAAGTTGTAATTCACTTTTTTTTCATTTTATAATATGATTTGAGTGTTTTCTTTCTTATTAGGGAAATTTTCCTTTAATTTGTAGGGTATTTTTTTTTCTTTATTTTTACAAGGTAATTAATATGAGTATTACGATAAATCTTTGTGTATCAACCTAAAATCTATTATAATACATAACTATCTTTTATATTTACAAGATATCTTTCCACCTTCAACAAATGGGTCAAGTGGAGTCTCTCTCTCTCTCTCTCTCTCTCTATATAATATATATAATTATATATATATATATATATATATATATATATATATATTATATATATATATATATATATATATATATCCCTTAATCTAATAAATAAGATCAATTTTGCTGACATTCGGTTAGCCCACTCGAATCAATTTATCCCGCCAATAGCATCTAAGTGAATTTTCGATAATGCCTGCTTCCTCTAATTGCATACCATATTGATTGATGTAGTTTCCATGTATAATGCCAATTAATCATTAATAAATTGATCTAAAATCTCTTAAAATCAGCCATTTGTACGTTATAGTTGTTTCTCATATCATAAATCACGTTGATTTGCTGCTTGTAGATCTTTAAAGCTCGCCAAGTTATGCTTAAGCCATAATCCTCTTTTCCATCTCTATTAATGGTTGTGATTCTCCTCCTCATCTGTAATTTTCTCTAGAAAACCATAGCTTCACAAATCCTTTAATTCACTCTTCGCGTGCTTGGATCATAAAAATGGCGCACCACTCCCATAAAATGATAACCATTGAGTTGTTCTTATCTTCTGTAAGCATTCTGCATTCTTCTTTGCTTCAGTTCCTCTCCACCCTTCTCTTTTTCTCCTTCTTGGTTTGGTACTTTTGATAGAAACCTGATGCTTCTCTTGAAATTGTTTTTTGAACCTTTTTTTTTGCAAAGGTTTGAGATTAATGGCAAACGATTTCAAGCGTCCTTATCTTCCCAAAATCCTTATTGAAGGCATGTTTTCCACAAGTAGTTACACAGACTTATAACGTAATCTGATACAATCAATTCTTTTGATTGTTTCTACGCATTCCCATCCATTATTCATTCTAGCTTTCCTTACGATTATGATCCAAACTGACACCATCATTTTGGTATTCTACAACCAAATTTGTTTTAACTTGTGAGTTTGTGTAAAAACAATCTCCTCCCAAGTCGTGTTGATTGTTTTGCTTATATGTTAAAAATGAGTTTGTGGTTTTTTGAGAAGATAGTAAGTTTTATATGAATGTATATAACGTGTTTGATGAAATGTATGATGATATTAGACAATAGGATTGAATATGGAAGGGAATAACTTTTTGCTACATCACCTGGGAAGTTCTTGTATTGATGATTGAAGATGATAATGTGTTGAGAAGTGAATAACATTTTGCCTCATGTAATTACTAATTTGCTTCTTTTATTTTTCTTTTATTTTTGATCGGCAGGTTGCCTACAAGCTTGAATCAAGTTATCCCTTATTTACTTCACAATATATGATGTATTTAAAACATAATTAAAACCATTAATACTATATTATTTTGTAAAATTAGTTTTTTAATTGAGTACCATAATTACTGTTAATGAAGAAAATGTGTATATGGTATGGTGAGAATTGTGATACCTCCATTTTATTTGGTTTGTGAATATTTCACAACTTGCCAAGTGTTATGATATATATATATATATATATATATATATATATATATATATATATATATATATATATGGTTTTTGTTTACAAACATTAGATTTTTATAATTATTGCTTCAAAAACTTACACATTAGTTAGTCGTAATCTTAAATCATAGAAAAGATGCAGAGTTTAATGAGTTAGCAAATTATTATCATTGACGTCTGTTTTTGATTTTTTTTTTTTTTTTTTTTTTTTTTTTTTTTTTTTTTTTGGCGATTACAGATTCATTTAATTACGATTAAATTCAAGCTTGATGCCCTATAACAAAATTCAAAAGATAACATCATTCAAACCATGAGAAAGAAGAAAGGTACTTAATCATCAATTATTTGTCAATCTTCTAAAGAAAAATAAGTTCATCTTTTCTTTTTTTATCCAGTTTTCATATAGATGAATTACCGAATTAAGAAAATACAATGGTGTTCTTATTTGTGTATGTCATAAGCTACTTGACTTTGTATATGAACCTTAAAACGTATGGTTTATTTTTAATGGTTGTACTATTTTGGTTAAAATTTGAAGATGGTTAATTCTTGGATAACCCAAATTATTTTCTTATAATCTCATTGCCACGGTGAACGCAAGTTTACCACATGGTCATAATTATGCAGAAAGGCTCAAGCTTTGAGATCCCAATTCTGAAAAAGCTACGACTGTTACACGATGTAATTAACAATCAAAAACATGTAGCAAGCTTATTAGTTTTTATATACTATTTGAATGAAATGATTTATGGATAAAAAAAGTTTAAAAAATATTTGAAAAAATGATGTCCTACTAGGGGAAATGAAAAGACAAAACTTACAGCAAATTGCAAAGTAAAATAATGTACCTTTAAGAGACATTTTGTAACATGCCAAAATTTTCAGGTATCATATTTGAGAAATTCATGTTCCTTAGTAGACTAACTCGACGAGTTGGATGCCCAACTCGGCGAGTGGAGTCATTTTGGCCGTGTGGGTTTAGTGACCAACTCGGCGAGTAGAGAGACAAACTCGGCGAGTTGGAGCTGTTTGGAGAAACTCTAATTTTCCAGGTTTGTTTCCTATTTAAAGGTCCTTAAGCCCTCATTTTCGCCTCCCTTATCTCCAGAAGCCCTGTGAGAAACCCTAGATCGGTTCCATCCATTGTAAGAGAGAAAGAGACTATTTTGGGTGTTCCTGTGCAACTTTGGAAGAAGATTTGGAGAGTGTCTTGGCTTGGTCCAGGGAGGGATGTTTGGATCCAGATATTCTTTAGTGGTTAGCTTCTGTTGGAGGTAAAAGATTCTAACTTGATCATTCTTTGTGTAGATCTTGGTTTGGGGAAGTTTTTAGGGTTTTCTCCCCTCCACCTTGTGTTATTGAGTCCCTTGAGCATATCTTGAGGTTGAAACCTCAGATATGGACTGTAGGAGGTCTTGTGAGCCCAAAGACCCAAGCTTTATGGAGCTAGAGGCAAGCTTTTGAGTGCTAAACCCTTATAAGAGCTTGTATTGGCATTATTGAGCCAATATGCCATGCATGAACGTAAAGTTGCAAGCTTTACGTGATATTCGAGCTTTAGGAGGTTAGATCTAGAGTAAGAACTTTTAGAATAATAACATTATTCATGTATTAGACATGTTAATATAGAACACAACAAGTATTAATGCGATGACTATATCCCAATATATCATAACATTATCTAATAGTTGTTGTTATAATGTTCTAATATCCAAATACTAAATCAAAATCAAAAACCCATTTCTAGAATAATAAAGTCTTATAGCTGAAGTGTGACCACTCATACTTAACTCAAAATAATGACTTTATCAATGGATCTGACAAAATTTAATTTGTGTGAATTTTGTGAATACTATCTCCATACTTAACTTTACTCTAAGTATAGTTAAATATTTTGGAGAATATGATTGGTTTCCTTTCATGAAATAGAGTCTCTTAGCTTGATTAAGTATACTCTTGAAGTCACAAAGATTTCTATGTGATCCTTGAATGACAGAAATCAACATAGTTTTTCAATGATTCCATTCATCCAATCATATTTAAATTCAACTTCTAAAGCAGTTTATTCTTATTTTTTAGTAGATTGTATCAATATGTTTTGCTTGGACCTCATTCCAACAAGACTTACTCTTCGTTCCATAATGAAGTCAAAATCCAATTATATTCATAATTATTTATATTTGTATAGAAATTAACATATTATGTAGCTCTTTCTATAAAAATCCTTTCTAAACTGATTGTCTCATATACATTTTCTTAGTTCTTCTAAAGTACTCTTAGAATGCTCTCTTAGTCATCTAGTGACGTATCCATGTATTCAATTAGCATCCTATGACAAGCTTACAACATGATCAAATACCATGTCCTATGTATAATGTGGCGTAAATGATGAATTCATTTGCCAAGCAAATATAAATCATTTCACTCTAGTTCAAACCTATGAGCTATGTAGTTTTGAGTCTAGCTCAAAATGGTGCCATATGACAATGCCAATAGTTCTCCAAAAGAATCTTGTGTCTTAATCCCTTTCAAGATATTGCCAATATATGTATAAGGACATGAAACTTTTAACATTCATTTTATCTATCCCTTATAGATTTTACATTCCAAGAATGTATCTTCTCATTCCTAAGTCTTTCATTTTAGAAATACTTTATGAGTCAAGGTGAAAACGAATTTGCTTAGTCAGAATGTGATTTCAAATGATTAAGTATGTCTCACTCATACAAGATTAGGAATTTCACTATGCTCCCACTAGTTCTTAGTAAACACACATTTTCTATTCATTTTGATATAAAAACACACCTTGTGGTTTTACATAAAATGATGATTTTAATATTTAGATGTTTGATTTATATCCACAAGTGGATCTCAAGCTCTACACAATTTATTAGGATATCATGGATTAAGAAAACCTCCAGGCTAATCTAGATAGATATCTTCTAGTAGATGTCTATTAGAAAAAGCGGTATTTTTTGAAATCTATTTGCTATATCTCATATTAAGAATATGAATTTATAGTAAATAATATCATTGTTGATCTAATCATAGCTACTTGTGAAAAAGGTTTGATCACAGTCAACGTCATGAGTATGATGAGGACCATAGTCAATGACATGAGTATGAAAAAATCATTTTACTACAAGTCTTGCTTTCAATGTGTATGGTTATCCATGTAATTTATTCTTTCTAGATGAATAATTTACTCCTTCTAGCCTTCCTATAGGGATAAATTTTAATCAAGCCCATACT